CATTTTATTCTTGAACAAGTTTAAAATTTCCGATGTGAAATATCATATATTATATGTTTAGTGACTTCAATTTTTTCCCACTTCTGAAGACATCTCAGCAGAGATTTCTTTATTCATATTTTCTATCTTATTACATGACACAATAATCGAAACGTATTATTTTCTGAGTTTTTGATTACATTGGACACGAAAGAACAAGAGAATATTATCTCGTTGAAGAATGTCTCTATTATCTCAAGGATGAGAACCTTAAGCGTTTACGTAACACAATTCATTCTAGCTGCTTCGAAAGAAAATAGTTTCACACGTTTTTTCGCGATGTGTGAAACGCGACGTTTACAAACGTAGATTCTTCTGTGCAAATATCATGCGTAGCTTTGAGAAATTCATTGATGGTATGTTTTAATGATGGTGCTGTTACCGGCGCCGCTTTTTTACGGTTTTTGTTGTTGAAAAAGAAATTAGTTTCAGCCGAACAAAGACCACTGCACGCGTTTGAATCGCGAGCTCACAACGGGAGACGAGGGTTAAAAATAGAAGGCTAAGTAAGGACATCTTGACTCGTTGTACCCTTATTCTACAGGCTGTGTCATCCCAGGGGCCTTTTTCACTCGATATCGCAAACCGCTATTTCCTCGCATGTACACGTGCCGCTTTTTCTACAATATCAAACTGGATACTGTACGCAGTAATTAGTTAATTCAAAATTCACTTGAAACGATAAACAATTTGTCATCAGTTATCAATAAATCTATCGATCATTCACAGACTTGTTCTGACGACTTTTCATCTCTAAAAGCGGCTTCGTATTATGATATTTTATTTTTTATTAAGAAGTCATTATTTCAAATAGATATGTGAGGTGCCGTCTTTTTATTATAATAAAAACATTAACACGTTCACTTTACATTTATTTATGAAAATTATTAACTTGTAAATACGAGACATTGTGTAATATAAGATGATATATAATGTAATTATTATAATACATAATTCATACAGTGTTGCTTCTTCAATAAAATACATGAAAAGCAGAGATGCAGTAAATTTTTAACAATTAATTAATCACGTTTAATAGTAAGTGTGCAATAGAAACATAAATCATGGAATATCAGAAAGCTGTAAATATTTTTCAGTAATACATACAATATATACGTGTTGTATTATGAAAGAAGCAATCTCGCTTCAGTGAATTGATCGTGTAAAAATATCGTTGAAATCATACATTGTTTCTAATATCTAATATTCATTTTCTTGAATTACATTTAAAAAAATTGTTGATTTCGCGTAGAGACTCAAATTTTTTTTATACGTATCAATGTTACTTGTATTATATTCGTACACGTACATTTCTATGAAAAATTATTTTTGAAAAATCTTTTTAACAAAAAATATTGAATTTCCTTATTTATTATACCAGGATGTTTATATAAAATAATATCTAGTTCTTACTTAATTATTTAACAGAATTTGTGCATGTAAAATTTTAATTTTATTATCATTTAGTTTTATCAAAATCTATTATATGACAAGTTGAATTATTTATCATTATTTTATTAATAAGAAGAGCATTTAATTCTACGAAATTTTATATATTATATGTTTATTTTTACGGAATTATATCGCGGTAACTAACTTGAGCGCTGTTTGTTATCAAAATACATAGATAGGTACATTACTTCACACAACGTAACTAAAATACCTCTGTTTTTTTTACAGATAAATCGACCGGAGAGAAAATAACATCATTTGACGTAAGTATATCGAGAGATTTTTCTTTAACTAAATAAATACTACTTTTAAAATATTCTCCCAAAAAATGCATGTTTCAATTAAATGACAAAATCGATTTTAATTTGAATATTTTATTAGACTCCAATGATCTAATGTTTAAATAATTACTAGCAATTAACGTAATCATATAAATAGAAATACACGCATACATGTATCTTCGTGCGCACATGTCAACTCAAAAGTCAACTCTAATAAATAATAATTTCATTGTTGATTTAGCAAAAAAAAATTTAAATAAAAAAACTACGTTTATTCACTGAGAGTTTCAAACAAAATCCTTTGTATTCTGTTATGTCTTTCTTAATTTTATACTTCCTTATCTTCCTCCGTTTTCTAATAAATAATTAATATTTTTTATATAGATTTGTCAAGTTTTTATTTCTCTCAAATAATTTTAAAAAGGAAGCGTTTACGAAAAAGCCGCTTTGATTCGTAATGTGCTGCATTTCATCATCTTTGAATTATTTTCCATTAACTCGCTCCACTTTTGCGCGGATCCACATTCATATTGCATTTATTACTAATCGCGATCGCTTAAATGTATGCTTTCCATTTGATTTTTATTCTGTAAATACATTCAATTCACGATCGTGCATTATTACCTTCCAAATAAAGTTCATGCCGAGTGCGTAAGATAAGATGGGAATAAAGATAATAATCTGGAACAAGTAAATTGTCTGATATCTTTTGAATTAATTCGAAATAGATCAACATCGACCATAACATAAGATTTCTTTAATCTTCTATTTACAACCAGTCGCGCCAGATATATCCTAAGTTTACTCGCGAAATCATTTCTATTTTTGTACGACGTACAGATCTGCCCGTCATGGATAATTTACACTTGAGAGCGTCCGCAGGATCGATTCTTGCACGTTTGCAAAAGAATCAAATTGTGGTTGCAAAACGGGTTCTCGAATTTGCGACTTGATCTTGTTATTACGACTCGTGAGACACGCTTAAAAACACAGATAAGAGAAATATATTATAAATCACTGTTGCACGTGAACGATTATCGCGGATATCATGCTTCGATAATCACATATTTTTGCAAAATGTATAACTAATCGCAGCGATATCTATCATAACGAAGCAATATCTATGAATCCCCTTTTCTTCTTAGTTCTTATAATCATTCATGTGAATCGCGCGTAACTGGAGACATCTTCGGTATTTCCTCCGTATAATGCTAAATACTACATACACTCTGCTACAATAGATAGTTTGTGATGTGTATATATTGAGACCTTGCGTAATGCGAGCTAGCCGGAACACATATAAATTCTCGCTGTGCGCATTTCAGATTGCATTGAATTATTATTATTATTATTTAAAGTGAAACTATTTTCCTTGAGTATATGTTCGGTGTTAACAAGCATGTGTTATGTACTATCAATTATCTTTGCAGAGCTCAGTAGTACAACATGGTACGACAGGTGGCAAGACCCTCGTGGGGGTATCAAGAAACAAATCGGAACGAGAGAGGAAGATTGGGCATCGAAGAGTTGGAGTGGGAGGTGAAATCACATATAAGAAGGTATGGGAAGAATGCCAGTGTAGCACTCCTAATAGATAGTTTCTTCAGATTTTGCGCTTTGTAATCAAAGTTAAAGAGTATTATTAAGTGAAAGAGAAAGACTTAATAAGCTTATACTATATTATATTTAGCAGTATGAGTGGTAAGGTTTTGATGTTAATAAAAGAGATAAGCTACTTTTCTTATTCAGCTATCAATGAGAGTGATGATCAGCTACACATGTATTTACTGATTCAATCACCTGATATAAGTTTATTGCAGGAGAGATTAGACTTTCTCTACTTAAATATCATGGGACATTACTATCGTTTTCTTTATTTTAATATTGTAGGCATGATATAAAATTAAAAAATCAATAATATTTATAATTTTATATCTTCATGATTAGTTAAAAAAATATATTTTTTATTTATTTTATACAGATTCAAACGACACAAATTATGGGATCTATTCAATTGGGTATACAGCATGCTGTTGGCGGTCTTGCAAGTAAACCGGAACGTGATTTATTAATGCAAGACTTTATGACGGTGGAAACAACGAACTTTCCTAGTGAAGGATCAAATCATACTCCAGCCCATCATTTCTCGGAGTTTAAATTTAAGAACTATGCACCTATTGCATTTCGTTATTTTAGAGATCTCTTTGGCATTCAACCGGATGATTTTTTGGTAAACAAATCTTAGAAATCTTTTTCTGTATAAATTATAATATTATGTACTAATAATAAGACTTACATTTTTAGATGTCAATGTGTAGTGCACCATTACGTGAGTTATCAAATCCTGGCGCCAGTGGGAGTATCTTTTATCTAACAGATGATGATGAATTCATTATAAAGACTGTTCAACACAAAGAAGGAGAGTTTTTGCAAACTCTACTTCCAGGATATTACATGGTATGATCTAGAAGTAGATAATTACACAATATAATTTTTAACACATAAGCTTTTTTTATAACAACAATATTATTTCCTACAGAATCTAAATCAGAATCCAAGAACATTATTGCCAAAGTTTTTTGGATTGTACTGCTATCGATGTAATAGTAAAAATGTTAGATTAATTGCTATGAATAATCTTTTACCTTCATCTGTAAAATTGCATCAAAAATATGATTTAAAAGGGTCTACATACAAAAGAAAGGTTTGTAATATTTTTTATGAATATGTATAAGTATTATATTTCAATATATATAATTTTATTTATTACGTTATATATTAAAAATTGTAGGCATCGAAAACAGAACGTTCGAAGTCTTCACCAACGTATAAAGACCTAGATTTTATAGAACATCATCCAGAAGGTATCTTTTTAGAAGCCGACACATATGGTGCACTAGTAAAAACTATTCAACGGGATTGTCGTGTATTAGAAAGTTTCAAAATTATGGATTATTCTTTACTTGTTGGAATCCATAATCTTGACCAGGCTGCAAAAGAAAAAGCTGTAAATATCACATGACATTTTTCATATCACGTAAATGTCAGAATATATTTGTCTTTACATACATACTATACATATACATAATATATTATAGCAAGAACAAAGATTATCGGCAAGTGCTGATGAAGAAATTGATGAAATGGGTGGCGAAAGTGACGGATTCATTCAATCTGAGAGAGAAAAACAAAAAGAGGATAGAATAGGCGCTGCTGCTTTAAATCGATCACGTAGTATAAATCGTCAAAGGTTGGTTGCTCATAGTACAGCGATGGAAAGTATTCAGGCTGAGAGTGAACCAATAGATGAAGAGGATGATGTACCGTAAGCACGATATATTTAACTCTTACATGGATGCGTTAATATGTTTTTAATTATAATAAATTTCATTTTTAACTGTTCCTAACAGTTCAGGTGGTATTCCCGCCAGAAACGCGCGTGGTGAACGTCTTTTATTGTTCCTTGGAATTATCGACATTTTGCAAAGCTATAGGTTGAAAAAGAAACTGGAACATACGTGGAAATCGATGATACATGATGGGGTAAGTGACGTATATATAGCACACATATGCGCGCGCGTGAATTTATAGATTTCCTTTTAATTATCATACTCTCTTTGACCTCCTTTTATTGGTCTCAACGTCCTATTGTTAATATAGAAGAAATGTTCTTATTTTCTAAGGACACTGTATCAGTGCACCGGCCAGGATTTTATGCGCAACGCTTTCAGGATTTCATGGCCAAGACAGTATTTAAGAAAATACCATCACGTAAGTACCATCCGAATCAACCTGTCCTAACAAGTTTGACTACAAGATTACACTCAGCAAAACTCGCTAATTTATGAGTAATTTCACGCTTACTTACCTATCAGTAGTCATTGTTTTCTGGTTGATCACATTAATTCGGTACATTAGACAAGAGATAACTGACTTCCTACAAAGGTAGAAAATAAGTTTTAGCTGTAATTAGGAAAACTAGTCATTGTAAGATATTTAAATTGAAAGTCAAAATCTTTTTTGTTTATAATAACAATATCGATATTGTGATTCAACCATATACAATGCTATCGAATTGTATCTTTTATTGAGGCATTTGAGATATATTTTAAACATTTAACGAGACGAAAAATGAGAATAGGACAAAAGTATATTATAAATGAAGCTCAAAACTGGTACTTACAATATATATAGTGTTATAATGATATAATTAGTAAGGTACTTATATTGTTACTTAAAAAGCATATACCAATCCTCATAGACAGCAGTAAGCCATAAGCTAGGAACATATATTTTTCTTGTTACAATTTACTATAAAATTCGTTTACTTTATTTGTATAGTTACATGTTCTTCTATCTAGCGTGTAACAAACTTATTAATGAATTGGAACATTTAGGACACCCAACAAAATATTAGCTTCCACAAACATATTACTCATACGACGATTATCAGGATTGACACAAGCGATGCCAGTTTTAATAAATACTCTAGTTATTTGTATTTTAAGAATGTTGAAAGCGCAAGTCAGCGACTCAATTTTGTCCTAACAGATTTTATCACAGATTTAGCCGTCCAGAAAAATGTTCTAACGATTATAATAGCGTTATAAGATATTTGAGTGACTGCAGAGAATGCGACAAATGCTGTGCGGATATCCGAAAATTATCTAGACGTGGTGCTTGCATCAATATCATGATTCTATTCAAATTTTATTCATCTATCAGTGCCTTGCGTAAGTTAATGAAATATCATGCATAATTAGAATTATTTGTTGTTAAATAAGAATAATGCGCTTTTTATCTCAACAAATGCGATATCAATAGAATTCAATCCGATCCAAAACAGAGCTTTTCGGATACCTGCATTCGATTCAAATCAATGCTGTGAATAAGAATATTTTGGGTTTATGAGTGTCAATTGATCATTTTTGGGTTTTGTTTTGGTGTAACTAATTGCTAACACAATACACGTTTGTATATTTTATTATATATAATTTTTCTATAATTTATGATAATTTTTATTTTTAACTTCAACCGTATTGTGCATTTCATTTTTTTTTTTTGATACACAATTTTTTTGATATATTTGTTTAAAAAGAGAAATAGTGAATTACCAATCACTGGTGTCCACAGATATAGCTGAGTATTTTATATATGTCGATATTATTAATCTTGACTTCCATTAGTATTCTTATATATTAGATTTTATTCCGAGCCATGTTTGAAAAAAACAATCATCTTAAAGCAACATTTTTATAAAATGTTATATAAAAACTAGAATCAAATATTTTTTGCTTATTAATAACTTTTCCTTGATATAGTCTATAATATAGCTGAAGATATGTATGCATCTGTTAGTGTACAGATTATCACAATCACGATTTCTATCGTTTAGATTTTTTAGTCGATCAATAAATATCATGTGCCAAAATTTTATATGAAATTTCTTTAATGTCAAGGATAAATAAATCTTAATGAGAAAAGTTTTTATTTTATCGATACGCCAAAGCAATCATTGATATATTTTCGTTCATCAGAGCTTATTAGTACAAAAAGATATAGTAGAACGCATGAAATACATCCGAGCATTCAAGTAGCGTATTTAATACAGCTTCAAAAAGAAAAAAAAATGCATGCCATGATTTTCTCGACACAAGGGATCTTTATAGAGATGCTAGTTTTGTGCGGTCTATGTATTTGTAGAAGAATCTCTGCGATATATAAATAATGTTGAACGTATATATTTTTGGCAATAATAGCAAATGTAGGACCGCGTGGGTGTACGAGATTAATTACAAAAAGAGTGCGAGAGTGTGAGAGCGAGAATAATCAGTAGAAGTAGAATTTTTTTTATTGTAAAAATATTCAGCTATTGACTGAACGTGGGCACCATTGTACATATTTATATATTTTACAATAAACATTTTCGCTGTTTACAACTTCATTTCATTTATGAGCCCACCCGTACACTTATAACTTACTGTACTATTACTACTACTACTACTACTACCACTACTACTTTAACTATTATTACTACTACTGTTACTGTACTGTTACTATTACTACTAATGCTATTACTGTTACTTTCATTACTTTTGCTATACTAGTACTATTACCATCATTATTGACGTCGTTCCTTATTATGACATACATTCCCTAGTAGTCGTTATTCATATTAAGTTTTTTGCACCATCAGCGGGTTACACTTTGTATATTGTCTTAATATTGTATCGTGCAATGTGTTTGTTGTGTTACGTACGTTTGCGTTTTGTTAATCATCTATCACTTATACTTTATTATATGACTAAACAAATTACAATTGACGGCCCAAACTTACTCTTAGGGAAAGTCATATAATTGTGTTAATATATTTTTTTAAATTATCATACGTTAAAACATCATTTAAACAGCAGAAACTTAGTCGCATAAATCTTCGAATGGAACAAGATTCAATTGGTCTACTCGGATAATAACTTGCAACGGTATCTACGATTAATTTTTCCTATCCGAGTACACAAAAGAAATACAACCTTAAGGTCGCTTTGTATTTCAACTTTCAACATATTTGGAAATTAAGTGTACCCTGACTTTTCTTTAATGTTTCTATCTATTCTCGGCAGTCCCTATGATTTTATTATTCGTTCAATGATTCGGTATACATAATCATATTATAAGCGGTATTAGCTAAATGTTAATGTTTCTCTGTGTCCCGTGCACTTCTTTTCGTGTCAACCCCCAATGACCTCATCTGACCTGCTACCGAAACTCGAAAATTGAATACCAAAAGTGGACCTGCCTGAGATTAAGGGGAATCACCGCAAATTCCGTAACCTCGTCACCAGTTATATAGGTAACTCTGTCTATGTGTGTGTCCATCTGTCCATTTGTGTACGAATGTATATTTGTTTTCACAAAATCCTCTGCCTGTATATGTATTTCTTCTTGTGAATGATATGTTTTTCATATTCTATTGATTATGATTTTACAATATGTGGATTTATCTCACCTCTTATGTGTGTGTACACACAATTTTGCATTGAGCAGATAAAATCTACCACAACTTTTGTCTATCACAATTTTTTAGAAGAATTTGAATAATTGTTTTAAAATAATTGCAAATATAATTTACAAAGTTAATGTTATATTTCTCTGCATGTGATATATTCAAAGATAAGACGGTATTCATTGTATTAGAATGTTACATATTTATTTTTATATTTTTTTACCTGATGAATTAAAATTGAAAGGAATACAATAAATTAATCGATTCAGAAAAGTCAATTACACGCACATACCTGAGAAGTTTTACATTTTACAATATGAATATTTTTTTTTACACACTATATAATTTTAAACGCAACTTTTTATGTTTTTTACTATCACATGATTTTTTTAAACTTGAATGTGTATACTGAAAATATTTGTTAAGCAAACTAAGTGAAATTAACAGCAGAATTATGCAAATGAATCTTTCGAACATCTTTGTGAGTGTGTTTCTTATTTCTAATTTTATCGCTTTTGCTTATGAGAATTGTATGCCTGATACATGTATTTTTTTATCACTCTTCATCGCACATATGTCCGTTCTCTGTTTTTCTGACATACATTTTGCAACGCTCAGCCCAAGAATTTTATTATAAATTATTATAAATCTAGGTCATTCTTCTCGCAATATATCCAAGAATAACATCTATACTTGTTATAGATGATGAACTCTTCACCCTTTCCCTACACTATATTTTTCTACATCTCACAAAAAAATAAAGAGATTTCTTGCGTTTTACTCAGCGTGTTCCACTTAATTTCTCTATCTATAAAACTCTAAAATCCTAAACTTTCCTTATCACATTCGGTATCGTGCAGCAATTAGTTTAGCCTAGACATACCCTATAATCACAGCACGGACCGATAAATTAATGGATAAACGTCTGCGCAATTTACAATGAAATCTAGTTGTTACGTATGCATAAAACATTGCAATTACATCTACAGATTCCAGCACAATTTTCTCATGTACGTATATTCTTTTTCTGTGTAATTAATTAGGCATGGAGTAAAACGTAGCACATACAAGTGACAATTGCTAATCGTAAAAAAAGTTTTCGCTTAAAAGCAAGCGAGGTCATTAAATGTTGTCCGTTTGACTATATTCTCATTTATTCACAATATATGTTAGATATTTTATGCCTGCGATTAGTAAAATATAAGTATTTTTATACAATAAGTACATATACTATAGTTTAGAATTTGTTAATAAATAGTAGAATAGTATAGTCATAAATTGAGAAAAGAATTAAATTTATGCACAGGCTTGGCAAATGCAGTATTATAGTAAGATTTGTTAAACAGAAAAATTAAATATTTAAAATTAAAATTATGGACGAAAGAACATATCGCGATATGTATAAAAATTTGTCTTTTTTTTTTATTAGAATTAATAAATAGATAAATTGTCTATGTAACGTAAAAGCACTATTAGAATTCATAAATAGATACATTGGCTATGTAACGTAAAAGCACTATTAAAAAAAAGCATTATTTAAAATAAATAAGATAAATTACGTATAGATAGATTGCGATTTTAGCTGTGTATTTTTATATCTTTTTTGTAATTTTCTTTATAATTCATCGTAATTATTTTGCGATACTGCAAAGTAGAAACTATTTTATATACATATGTAATTATTGTAAAAATTGAATAACCCGATTTATGATATTCTACTAACAATTAAGTTTATGATATTTTTAAACTAAAACAAATTAACGAGATAAAGTCAATAAAATGTTCTTCGACCCTTGCTGATGTCGGCTTTTGTAGCGTTTTGAGCCTTTTTGATAGGCGTACTTAACACGTATAATTTTTAAAAATGAATCTGTTTAGTTCGCACAACTCACGTAAGAAATTATAGCATCGCATACTTTATGTTGCAGCTTTGAAACATTCCCCGTCGAAGAGGAAAAGTATAAGCAGACCATTGAGGCCGCTAGAGGGTGACTTTGATTCAACCGGTAAGTTAAATGCGTTTCTTTCAAACTCAAATGATTTTTTTCCGATTTTCTATCATTCAAAAGTTCTCTACGCTTGTTCATGATATCACGCGAGAAATTGATCGGTTTTCGGAACGTCATCAGTAACAGACAGTAAATAATAATTATTTCGCGTTTTTTAGTAACTGGATATTTTTTAATATTCATCTTTAGTTTAAAATAATAAATTGTAATGAGAGAATTGATGAAAGTAACGTCCGATTCCAAGTAAAATATATCAACATCGCGATTAGAGGTTTGGAGACGTGAATTCCGAAAATCGTGCCGAAAATTTCGACAGAACGTTTTCTTCACGGTTCTACCATTAGCTTTGCGCTGGATTTCACTGTAGCCAGACACAGCGGTCAGTGCAATAAACTTAGCTGCGGCATTCCCACGTTACCCGCTTCTAAAGCATTCACAACGATACCGATATGCGAAGACATCGAGAGTTCTAGGTGAAGTTCCGCCCGATCCTATCCGATCTCTTCCTGTCCCTTGCTCCACGTTGGTTTCCTATGGATACTTCACTACACATATGAAAAGCGTATGTACATTTATTGTAATCTCTAATTGTTTAGTAGAATTTTAAGTCGCACCACAATGGCGCACCTTGTAAAGAAATCGATATTCAATCTCACGTTTTTCTTTTACTGGTGAATCAAAAGTTTAGAGAATTTTATCATCAGAAATGTAAGTCTGTACATATTCATATCTTGCACGGGCTCAAGTCACCGTCAGCGACGAACGAACGGTAAAATCGGTGTAAATATTAAATGCAAAATTACATTGTACATAACGGAGAGAGAAAGCAGAGAATTGCTGCGTTTTATATCTTTTTAAATTTTTATATTTCACCTGGCAAAAAGTGATTCCACTGACACACACCTTTGCACCTCGCGTGATCCTTTTTACTTCATCTCTCCTTGTATTCCCACAATGAATTCGTTTACCATCCTATATATATATATAGAGCTTTTTACATCGTGAATGTCCGTCAATCGTTTTGTTTCCCTGCCACATAAACGTCCCTTCGCTCGAATCCTCGGGTTCTGCCTCGGGACTCTATCGGCCAACGAGATGTGACAGAGAAACTGGAACCGCGATTTCGATGGGGGGTTTGCTTTTATCGTGCTTCGCTGGAAATGAAACGCTTGAAGGAACGTTGCGTACCCAATGATGAAGCAGGGTTTGAACGACAATCGCAGATGAGTCGTTCAATTTTGATGTGAAAATAACTCGTACGATTTTATCGGATCGGAATAATTGGATTGAAAATATGAAGCGCATATATTTTTCGTGCGGCATCTCGACAACTCTGTCGTTGCTGCCTCGCATCGTTTCAAACCCTACGGCAAAGAGATTTCGTGACGCCGAATATGATATTACCTTCGTGGTACAATTATTGGCAGAATATTGCCCAAATATCGGTCCAATATATTTCCAACGTTTAACCAATATATTGCCAATAAATTACTACTAAGGCATCTTGTGCTTGTAACGCGCTTTCGGCACTGATGAATGGCTTCCGCGTTTTCCGGGTACTCTCGAAATCCGTGGTGAGTTTCTCTGTCCGATTAAGAGCTGGATACGTATCACAGTACGGTAATGGTACATGGTGTTATATGGTGGTTTAGCGGTGGCGGCAACTGGAGGTTCGACAATGCATGCTACATCACCTACAAAGGCCGGTGAGTCTTATACAATCACTTACTCTCGTAATGTACAGTTGTTTATTGTCATGTGAAACCATTTTCAAGATTGAAAATCTTCGTCGCGACGTCGCGAAAATGTACCATTATCTTTTACAACGGTATTACACTCGGAAAACGTGAATGTCAATCGTACTTTCTTTGTTCAAAAAGTAAAGAACAATAAATGTGAGAAAAATTTCAAGGATTTGTGTATAAATTGTTCTCTAACTATCTTGATCTATTTAAAATTGAGTGTATTTAAAATTAAAGATGAAAGTTAATGAATTGAAAGTAATTTAATTGACTCCGTATCATAATATTGCAACAATATTTGTTATAAATCATGTATCATTTATCGCTTTAATTAGAATTTGCAAGTAATTGTCTTGAACTGTGCAACGTAAATTCGACGCATTTGTGAGTCGCGAAAAATGTTACCACAAAGAGATTTCATTTATTACATCATTATGTAATAATCATAGGACAAAGTAAACTTCACATATTACACTGCGTCGCGAACTTCTTTTTAATTACAAATATATATGTATTATGATAAATTGCGATACGTATAAGATTTGTGCACTCGCGGACCGGTCTCGTAAAAACAAACCAGTCGGAGAAGAATCGACGTTGCACGGTTCTCCAATCATTCGACTTCTCTCATCCGGCTTCTCTCTGTTTCTCTCTTTTCTCCTGCCTTTCTCTCTGTCTTCCCATCCCGCGCCATCGCGACGCGGCACGCGCGACTTCCCTTCGTTGAACCCTTGGACGGCCACGAACTACCTTGAACGACCACGGCAGCAGTTAGCCCGCCCGATCCTGCGATCAGCATGACGAACGCGGCGGCCTCGGTGCCGATTGCCACCTCCACCCCGGTTAACCTTGCCGCCGGCCCGCTGAGTCCGCCTCCGTTGACCTTAGCCACCGGTCAAGGTCCGCATCACGAGCATCCGCCCGGGGCCGCCCCCACGGTCAAGGTCACGAGTTACCCGGCTGTACTGAAGGGTAGAAGCGCGGCCAGTCCGCCGAACCCGAACCTGGTACCGTCCGGCAAGGTCCCACCTCCGGTGCCACCGCGGGGCACGGCCGCCTCGAGGACCGCCAGGTCCTCCGAGGATCACCGGGCGGTCAGCACCGCCGCCTCGACAACGTCGTCGGTGACTTCCAGCCGAGGTGATGAAGCAGCCATAATCACAAGATATCGCTTGCATGACAGTTCGTGCAACCTGCACCATTCGCTCCTATCTGACCATTCCTGTACTTCTACTTCTATCACCACCGCTAAAACCGTGGCCTCTACTATCACTACTGCTACTTCTGTTAAAACTACTTCCGCGACCTCGAATGCGTTGCATGCTCATACATCAGCATCCGATACTTCTTGCCGCGTCACTCGTCGCGATCGTGTCGGTGGAGAAGTCGGACGGATTCGACCGATGGACTCGATTCAGCATTGGTATACCCAGGAACTCGGCGAGGACGAGGAAGAGTTTGTCAGCGTGGTAAAGATTGAGGACGCTTACTTCATTAAGACTAGCCTGCACCCTCTCAGACCAGATAGGGGAATCCGTCGATCCAATCGCTTGAAAGATTTCAATGAAACGGGTACCGATAATTATAAAGTCTCAAAGAAAGATAAAGAGAAAAGGGGCGATACCAAGACGGATCATCTAGCGAAGTTTACATACTTTTTAAATCCAAGCTCTCGAGCTGATCTCATGAATTACAAGATGTCGCGAAAGGACAAGAAATATTCCGAGACGTATTATGAGAGAGTAAAGAGAAAGCAAAAGAACCTTGAAGCGTCTATCACAACGATCACGACGGTGTCGCATCTTCGTAAACCAGTGGAAGATGCGAGAACGCATCATATGCATACATCTTATATGGAGGCTGCTGAAGAATGGAGTAATTATAAGCAAAAGATCTTAAAATTCACGTCAATTAAAAAAGATAGCATTTTGCTGCAAAAAATTCGAGAGAAATCTAAGAGAAGGAAACGACTTGCGCCGGAACCGTCGATGAAGAAACGGACAACTAAGAGGGAAACTTTTAATGGAAATTTAGCTGATAATGAGAAAACAGATGTAAAAAGAGACAATGAAAAATTGTCTTTGAAAATGAGTCCTCTAGGAAATAAGAGTGGTTATCGGATTCAGGAGAAAAGTAATAAAAATGACACAGATTTTACAAGTAAAAGGAAGGAATCGGCAATCAGATGTGATGAAACGAAACAGAATTGCCCTTCTGGTAGAGATAATAACTATCTTGATAAGAATATCTCTAAGAATATAAATGATGAGCAAATAAATAATAGAGGTGGATTCAAAGGAATTTTTGCAAACAGTTATCGTGATAAAGTTGAAAACATGGAAGATAGGATAGCTCATGAAGGAAATAGTAAAGGAATTAGTAAATTCGATCGACAGACTAATGAGAGATTTAAAAAATATAAAAACGAATCTCCGAAATCCGACTGTAAAAGCTACGATGGAAATTCCTATTTTCGTGAAGAAGAATCTTCATCCGATATTAAGAAGACCAACTCGAAAGATGTGAATCGAGATAAATTGCTGAGTACAATCGAGAGAGAAGAATTCATATCTTCCAGTTTCGACGACGTTCAAAGTAGAAATAGCGATGTTCTAAAATATTCCGTTTTCGAAAAAGTGAAGAACTTTGAGAAGATTAAGATGGATGTGAGAGGCAAAACGAAGGATACACTTCGGCGAGAAGTACACTTGGATAATTTGAACTACGGGAATGAAATTAGTGCTATTAAACGAAAATTTGCACTGCCGATCAATGAAATTCGATTGAATCAAGAAGAAGAAAAAATCGTATTGAAAGGAAGATTATTAAACACCGATGTTAAACGCAAGAGACAAGCATTTAAGTCTCTTTCGAGTGGCCATTGCGACGATTTATCGTTTAATTCAGAGTTTGGAATGCTGAAACCGAATGTTTCCTTCTTACATACTTATCGAAAGACGCGATCGTTTACATAAAGACATCAATTTCTTGGTTGCTAATTTTAGCAAAGCGATTTATAAAAGTATTAATAACGATAAGTCTTGATGTCATCCAACTGATGATGATTATTAACTGCGTGAAAAACGATAGTGTACAAAATTTCGAATTTATAATCTTATAAAAGAGATCCGCAGCTTCCAACTTTATGAAGAAACTACAGCTTTCATCTTTCTTCACTGAACACTTATCACGTAAAATGTTTTGATCTCTTTTATATCATTATTGCATGACAACACAAGCATACGTTCTGACAATTATTTTTTGCATATCGTCGTCTCATATCTCAGATTGTGATAACAGTATTTTATTTTCGGTAATCATCAGGGTTAGCGAAGACGGTGTGCTATGTTTACCGTTAAATGTTCGACTATTCGATTATTAATAGAAGAGAGTAATCTGTGTTGAACTAATATCTTTTGCTATCTCTTTTCCACGTCTGCGACATTTCAATGTCAGTCGATTTAAGACATCGACGAGGTATCGTTTATATATAACAAAAATCATTGTCGAGTTCTCCCTGCTTATTGTGTAAAGTTATCGTTATGTGATTGATTAATGTTTCTATTAGTTTAAGTATCGTTCGAGTTTTATTAGAAATAAAAAACTGCATGCATAGAATTTCATTGCTATCAACGAGTGAATAAACGCAACGTGTTTTACAAGAAATAAAATTTTACTTATACCGCGTTATTATTCTCAGAACAATATCTCTTTTGCTTTTGTTGCTAATTTACTTCGTGTAATCCGATATCCGCCCATTTAATTGCGTTTATTTACCTCCTAGTCGTATTGTGCTATTTAATCGATTCGTCCTGAAGTTTAATAAATTGTTTAGTAGTAATTTATCTCATGTAACATAACAGGATGTTTATACGAATACATTGATGATGTAGTAACCGCAACGTATAAAATTGAATCTATTCTGCATACCTTAATTAAGTAGTTTATGTTGTACTTTTATAAATACGTATAAGTGAATACTTTAATACTTGTCCGAATTTGCTTCTATCACTTTTAAATATAAATGCTTTATATTTTCAACATTATAAAAAATGCTATTCTTAGATAAATGATATTATCGCGACTGTTAAAATTTGATTCGTCAAATTTTGCTAGCTTGCCTTCTTAGAAATGTTGAAAATTTTGCTCTGCATAATTTTCTCGCTGCGTATATATAATCGCGCTTGGAAACTTTATATAATTATCTTCTTCTTCGTATCTTCTTTATCTTGCTCTTTATATTAAATATCAGAAGTTGTTTATCCTAAACTTTGTCTGAATTATATTCATATACAGACGGGCAGAAGAATTAATTCATTGTGGTGGAATTAGAGAAAATATCATTACTATTTTAAATGCACATGTTAAAAATTTTAATTGATCAGAAATAGTACAATTAAATTCACATATAGGATGGTTTAAAATTTGGAGTATTTGCTGAATTAATCTTTATGAATCTGCATAAATATATAAAATTAACAAGTGGTAGATACTAACTTTATACCATCTTATATGTCGACGAATTTTTCTTTTTCGACGATTTTTCTTATAATAATAATAATCAAATTGTCAACAAATTAACATATACAAGTCAATATAATGTTATGAAAAATGTTCCCAAATCTTTCAACTTTTTTTGCAAATACAACAAAAAGATACATTAGTATTTTTCAAAAAATCGTGATAAGAAATATATTTATCCTAAAATATTAAAATCGCAATTCAAGGAGTAAATCGTAATTTTCTGCCAGTCGTTTTTCTAAGCATACATAGATGTGATTATTATTAGTGTAAATACTGTAAACGAATCTCTTATCTCAGCCATTCTTTGCCATTCCACTCTCACCTACTATTTCAGCATTTGATTGTATTAATTAGGGCTAATTGTAGCGCGCTTTTTGTAGGTGGCACCCTTCCTTCCACCTGCTCCACCCCGCCCCCGCCCTTTGATGATGCAGTCCGCTCGAACGACCAAACCTTGGCTTCCGGTGGTCACCTTCAGCAAGGCGGCGCAACCCCTATTCTTACGAGCAATCTGTTCTCTACTCATTCCAAACAAAATAAGGTTGTTCATCACGTTACCCTCACCAAGACGTATCACGATACTGTAAGGTGAGTACACTCTTTTGCCAATTGTTATCATTGATAATTTTGAAGTACCTCAATTCTCAACTAGTAAAATCAACAGAATAATATTATTTATCATTTTGTATATTTACATGAATAAATTAAAGACAGCTAACAAATTTAGTATAAAATAACAATTTTAGTGATGCATGCTAAGAATAGATTGACAATCAGATGCAATTGATAAGACATGTACACAGAGATACGTGTTTACACTGCTTGAATTTTTTTTTTATGTTACCTATATTTAGCCTAAAATATATTTTATGCTTGTCACTTCGCACTTTGCACGCATCTAAACAACATTTTTTTCTTTGCTTTATCACGGCAACCTCAGGAAAAGGAGAATGTTAGTATTTGATTTTAATTTAATCACACATGATTACTCGATTCCTTCAGCTTGTTGGCATTAAACATGACGAACGAATTTATTCTCAGCATATCGGACGTGCATTTGGAGAGCAGCGGTAGCGGTAGTGGCAGTGGCGGCAGGGAAACCAAGTCGTCACTGAGTGTCGAGAGTGGCGGCAGCAGCAGCCGAGGTGGCGGCGGTCTCACATGGACCCCACCGGCCGGAAGTGCTGAGGGCTCGACGCCAACGTGGACTGAGGGCACGCCGTCCTTCACCGAGAGCTCCAGCAGCGGCGACATAGGTAAGTTGCTCTACGCGCTGAACATCTACTATGGCTCCTGAAGGATACTGCCATGAGGACTTCTCGGTTTCTTCTGCTGGTACCCTCTCCCCCCCCCCTCTCTCTCTCTCTTCTATATCCTTCGAATACTCCAACGAGGAGTCGCTCGTGCGAGAACAAACGTAAACATTATATTGATTCTCGCTGTTGCTTAATTATCGAGTGTTAACATAGATCTTCTAAACTTTCTAAGTAATTTTTTAGATAGTTGCCTTTTTGTGCGAAAAATATATATTAAGAAGTTGACTTACTTTTCTAGAATTATATCATATTGATTCTATGAATCTGAAACTTTTTATAAGCCTTTTTTCATTTCTGATTGATATAAATTGAATGATGTAACAGAATCAACAACATTGACAATCATATTTGCGAAAGATCTTTCTATCTCGTTAATATTATAGACTTATTGGACACTTGAATAGTGTGTATTGAATGTTTAGCTTATGAAAGAATTTAATCTTTCTAAACACTAAACACATCTTATTTTCTTAATGTATTACATACATATACATTATTCTCATCAATTTTTAAATTATATGTCATTATACATATATGTATATGCAATTATTAGATTGTTATATTTTAATATCAATTTGACAAAAAATCTTTTTAAAAAAAAAGCGGAGATTCTTAGAATTTCTCATTTACAATGAATAAACATAAACACACACACACACATAAATAAAATTTAATATATAAATTAACATATTAGAAAATTTGAAACATGGACATAAATTAGAAGTTTCAATTTGTTGTATATAATATATACATGTATATATACTATATATATATCTTTGTTTTTTCATTATGATTTTTATTTATTGTTATATCAATTTTTTTAAAAAGGAAAGCAGATTTTTTGAAATTAAAATAATATGAAAATAAAATAATTGTCTCGAAATATACATACCTAAAATATATGAATGCGACAATTAAAAATAAATGTTTAACTTTAATGTTATTGTAACTAATATTGTTGTGTGATTATGCTTCAAGATTGTTAGTCAAATGCGAAAATATTTTCATTCGATTATGATTCTATAACAGCTATAATTTATCAACATTGTTGTTCTGTCTAGTCCTGTCTAGCTAATTTAAATAAAGCTTTGTTAAAATGCCTGATAATTATGAAAGAGACAATAAAGGAAAAAAAAAATACGAAAACGCGAAACTTCACTTCTTCGTCATTCTTCATTGAATCCTGTCTACACTGTTGATTTTATTTTTCTATTTTCATTTGTATACGTTTTCTGATCTTTGAAAATTTCTTAGGACCTCTAATAGATAAGTTTTGATCTTTGTATCTGTATTTTTTTATCTTCTCTACTATTGGCCCACTCAAGCAATTAGTTCACATGCTTCTTTTCATGCATAGACAACACAGTTTCTTAAATGCACATTTCATGTTTCGCCTCAAAATTGCGAAACCTCGAAAAAAAGGCACAAATTCTGAATCACTTTTTATTTAAAATCATTTATACAAATGCTATGCATATATCTCGTGTAATATTTTGCACTGCGACAAATACATATTTAAAAATTTCTTAATTTCACGCAGTTACGATCGCTTTTTTCCGAATATAGAACTAATTTGGAGATTACACTATCGCTCGAGATACCTCTTGCCGTCTGTTAATGGTAATTTGCGAGGACCAATGATATTTTTTGCACGATGACGATTAACGATAATTTTAGGTTGCCCGACCACGCCAATCAAGGGTAATCAACGTCAGGATGACGGTGGAAGGATCGCGGCCACTGTGGAGGAGGCCCTAGCGAGTCTCACGACTGAGATGGTAAGTGCTAATTCATTTCGTTGACCGATCGGACACAAGATACAGCTGAGGCAATGGAGAATCATATTGACATAAATTTATAAATTTATTTTATATTTTATATATTTTCATGAAATCAACAACACAGGAGGGATTACAAAATTGAGTTTTTGAAGAGAAAAAAATTCATTTTGTGTGTATATAAAAGACTATCCTTTTCATATGTTTTTTTTTATTTCAATAATTCTATATTTCTAATATGGCTCCATATTATACGAGTATAAATTTTTATTTACAAGGCAATTTTACTTAAATTATAATTTTATTGCTATTGATACCCACATGTTTTTGTAGTCTCTTATCACATTATAATAATACCATCATGATTGTCTATTGCCACCGCTATATTCCTGAACAGACGATTTATACGAGATGGTAAGTTTGCTATCGTCAGTGGCCGATTGATCGAATTATTTAAACGTGTTCTCCCCGAGTGACCGAGGCTTACCGTAATTATTAAAGGTAGACTGCGACGTGTTGTAAGAATCTATCGAATGGTAATTGCACCGTCTTCCTTTTAACGTCCCCTTAAGTATTGCAGGATTTTCCAGGATAAACCGACTAATCGCGATCCGCATGGAGCGTCCCAAGCTGAATTTCATTCCTAAAAAATGATATAAAAGCACGCGCTCGAAAACGATGCCACTGTCGATATTATTCTCGAGATGTGTCACATCGAGATCACTCATATGACAAACGTGTCGATGGTGCGTATTCTTTGTGGCGTATTCTCATTGTGCTACGCCAGGTATTTTTATGAAAAAGTAAACAAATACTTTATCAGGACTGACGAAACGCAAAAAATATGCGCGTGAAGTGTACACATGTCAGCATGATTCGCGATATTCTTTATCGCTTCTCGAAGAATCGCGTCGAACATTTCGCAGCTGAAACATTCAACAATTCTATATAATGTAGCTGTTCTGAACAAAAAGAAAAAGAGTATTGCTTAGAGGTTGCGAAGGAAGCGAAGTATCTCGCATAATCGTCTACTAATTCGGTAGCGAGAATAGTTTAAAAGAATCCATCCGATTCTGAGAGAAAGAGAGAAAGAAAGGAAAGATAGCCACGAGTTACTCTCCTCACTTCTGAGGAGACAGGTCTGTGTCTCGGCTCTCATTAAATTCATTCTGACAGAAACGAACGGCCGCTTTGGGACGCTCCATGCGAGAGAGTCAGACTGTCTGAACGCTTTGTCTATTTTCCTGAATCAGGAGATACTGCAGCGCGAGTGAATGCACGACTCTCGTCCCCCTTCGTCATCTCGTGCGCAACGTGCTCTGTGGGTGATCTGCACCGCCGTAGCGACAAATCTTCGAGAAAATGAGAGAGAGAGAAAGAGAGAATGGGTGACTGTGTGAATGATACGGTAACGAAATACAGTTTAACCCTTGATTGGTCGCGTTGGAGTAGGTCGCTAACTATGTCCGTGTAATTCAAGCTTTTAACAGTCGCATTTAATTTTACTGCTGGTATCAGTAGTTGGTAGTTGGATTTTTCACGGAACATGTAACGCTATGCTTTTTTAAAAGTCTGATCTGTCATTCTTGTCACGTTTCATTCTTTTTTGCCGTCATTGTCTCTACCGGATCCTCTTAATTCTCCTCGTTTTAACATTTCGCTTGTCAATTAGTCACACTTACCCTCTCTACTTAAGTCACTCTCTGTTAGGCGGAGAATAACTCAAAATAATTAATTTGGAATTGACATAAGAATATTTATTTAATCCTAAAAGCCTGCATTTGATCGCAAGACTACTTAAGGGTTAAAATCTAGTGGCAAATGATATGAATAGCTTCGCATCGAGGATCGAGGCGAATATGTGATCTGTTCTGAATCGAGATTGCAAGGATTATCGACCGTTCCATTTTGATGGCGAAGTTTATGTTTTATTCGTTATATATACATAGGACGTTTCACTTGTACGAAACGTTTGTACTTAACGCGATTTTCATTAACATCCGTTCGGTAGAGACATTCGTCTCGATCCGCGACTTCTAACATTAATTTGTTATCGACATGTATATCTGTACACATAAACATGTGAGCGTATCTCATTCGAATGTGGTTTCCACTATGATAAGGGAACACCTTCGACATCCTTATATGGGCATCCTTGAATCTTCCTGGGTATAGGAGAGTCAATATCATTATGGTTACGTATTTAACAAGAACGTGATACTCGTCGGCCTACAGTACTCGATAAAGCTTTTGACATTGTTCCAAATCGATTCAGGGAGTGATTAAAATGCCATTTTTTTTCAATGAAAGTTTTCATAGAGAAGTTTCTTTTTTTATTAGCCTGTTCGGAAAAATCGTCTCAAATTTCAGTTGATGAAACGCTTCTTAAGGACCTCGTGCACAAAAATTCATGAGTGATTATTAGAAAACTCGCCGACATTCAGCACAAGTCCGTCTCCACCGCTTCAATAAATAAAGTTGCTCTTTGAATAAAAATTGCGTCCTAAACTAACAGAAGATTTGAAACGAACTTTCCGCACAACCTAATGTTTTTAAAGAGGACCGATATGACGTTCTTAATTCTTTTGACGTCGTATTATCCTATTTAAATTGATACATATCCCTTTTATTCTGTTCTTTTATTTATCAGCGAAATTTTTAATCGGTCTATAAAATAGAACAGGCCAATTATAGATCATATAATCACCAAAAACATTTTATGCAAAAATTTGAGATATACATACGTTTGTAATTTTAATTTTCCTGTATATTTTAATCTTTCGTTTTCATTTTTACAAAAATTAACGTCAAAAGAATTAAATGTTTTTATAATCCGTCAAAGCTGAAAGCTGATTTTGAATACACAACACAAACAGAATACAGGAAAATAACAAGGCAAAAGTACTACTAAAATATTCAGCTAAATAAGATATATAAACGTACTGAAAAAGAAGATGATCTTTTAAGATGATCGTAAAAATTATGTTGTAGCGAGTTTATAACGCACATACGTAAGCGATGAGAAGCTGTCAAAATGGCATTTTGTTTACTCCCGGACGTTTCCACGCGTCTCCATTGTCCACGCATAATTCAAGCGTCTTTTTCCTAATCGAGTCGTCGCCGTCGATAAATTAATATCATATTTTACTAACATGTGAGAGGCCGTGTGATTACGGAACAAGTGTCGTCGACATATAATTGACGCATGGTGAACGGGGAGCTTTGTAAATAAAGTATGCTTGCGCATAGTTCGGCTAGCAGAAGGCCCGCGCGATTTCTTTTTATTGCGAGATATATAGTTAGTGTTATGTATCTATATGTGTCTCACGTTCTGTCTGTCTCTGTATGTACCTATACACATACGTATGCACGCGCACAAAAATTGTGTGTAACGTGTATACATATTATAAATACAACGTGCTTGTGTATACTCGCAAAGGTAACACGTATCGAATTGTTTCCTACCAAATTCTGATGAACCTCGGGTCGCGAATGAAGCAAGAGACACGTATTTTTTTATATAAAATCTTCGTCACGGATATGACGGACTCCTGTAATGTATTCGGCGTATCCGAATGGATAATGGCCGTAGCGATCGCAACATATCAGTGGATGATTTGAAGAAAAAAAAAATTTAATATTTCACCGTTTCTTATTTTCCTTAAAAGTGTCTAACGTTAAATTTATTCCTTATACGTAAAAGTTTTTGGAAATTTTTTATGTAGTGCGATAATATCTCTCTCTCTCTCTCTTTCTCTCTCTCTCTTTCTGTTTTTAAAGCAAAAATTTTTTCCGATGTACAGATAGAACTATATGTTTGTCTGACAAACATCGAAGTTATGTGGATACTAAAAAAGCTATATTAAATGTGATAACAAAAATATAAAAGTGCGTTACAAGTGCGATATATTCTGATAGGATAAAAGATATTTTGATTTAACAGAAAAAAAAATCCAGTACTAGTAGAGAGACGTAGCAAATCTGCAATAAAAGAGATTAACTTAACAGTGCTAGATTCCCTTGAAAATTTTCCGTAACATATCCGACGTTCATCAGAATCGAGGTATACGAAAAGTTGTTGCCTCTTGCCAGTACTGTATTATATAATACGACGTGATGCGTGGTGTGAAGTTGATTTTGGCGAGGAAAAGAAGAAGGACTTATAGTGCCGTGTACGTACAATACCCCGTAGTAACAGAGCATTCAGATATGTAATCGCGTTGCTATAATAGTACGTGAGATTTATCGCGAACGTTTTGAAACGCCAGAATGTTGTTCAATTATACGTATATTACTATTATTATAAAACGCTTCTGAACATGTCGGTGTAACATTTATGATTGGCGGTAAAATCTCACCGCATCTCGGTAACGGATCTTTAAAGTATCTCGAGACATCTTTAACATGCTTTTTATTTTAAACATTGGTACATTCCGTCGCGTATTTCCACGATCGTACTATCAACTGAAAAGGCATTTAAGATTTTTTTTCCAAGGGACCTCGACGCATTCCGAATGCATTCCGAGATTTCATTTGTCTTTTATCAGAACGCGTACAACGACGAATGAGAGTATTAGTGTTGCAAATGATATTTTTATGATCTAGATTGACTGCACTTCATCGAGCGAAATCGACAGATAATCCACGATAATTATTAAAGTTTTTACCGTGGATGCAGATTTTACTGCCGAGATAGCTTCATGACACAGTAGCTTTGTTAACTCGATACCTCCTCGCGGGTATTGCTATTATCGTAATTGTTAGGAATCCCGATCCCGCGTAAAAAAACATACCACTAACAACGTTAGCAATTTCAAAAGTGTGATATTTTTTTAACATATCCTTGGGAATTAAATACTGGAATCCGGATTGACGTTGGTGCAAAGTAATTTTTATTAGATCGCGCGGAAAATTCAGGGAGGATGAGAATTATCGTAAAAGTATGTGTGCGCGAGAAAGATTGCTGTGTTGCTTATACAAAATACTGAGATTGTCCTGACATAATGTAATGTTCTCGTTCTTTTTCTTTTGTGAAGAGTAAGAGAGAAAATTGTTTGTTCGCTTAAAAATATTTCTTTTTAATGCGATTTTCAGCGATTATATTGTGCTCAAGTATATACGTGTGTGCACGTTCCTTCTCGATTAATATAAATCTTTTCTGTTTTCAAAGCGTCATGTGTTGGGCGTAGATGTTTCTCTGTGTGTTTTGTGTGTGCTTATACAAAGCTGACGTTAATGCCATTCGTGAAATAACATTTGTAACTTTCAACTCTTATTTAAAACAGATCAATGTGCTTTGCCGAATTACAGATTTCGCAGTTCTTTCTCTTTTTATTACATAATTATTCAAAACTATCAAGTCTACCATACCGCTTAGGCGGTATATATCACGTCCTCTTCGATATTATGTCCTTTTCGATTCAATTATGTTACATTCGTACATTATAAGTTATCATAATTTATGACACCAGTAAAAATGTTTGAGAGTTAAATGTTTAATTTTTATTTTCCTAGCAAAAGAGTAGCAATATATTTAACCATTACTGGCTTTATGCTTTTATCGAGCAAATGTAATCACAAAAATGGTAAAGTGTGTCTCAAACTGTAAAATTTTTGTACATATAAATCGTATAGTTCTAAAAATAGTTAACAGAAATTATTCTTAATAATGATCGGATATATCTACATATTCGTAATTAGAATTTTAATTACACTTTATTTTAACAAAATTTTTGAAACTTATTTGAGAAACTCAAGAAAAATTATACACATATGGACAAACGAAAGTGATACAGCGTATCTTTCTGTGTTCGTATCATTCAGAGACGAACCAGCCAAGGCGGGCAGCATCAATTGGAGCAAAGCACATCCTTTTCGTTGTATCGTCAAATCAGGACGAGCTTGAAGCGCGGTAGCTTGAACCACGTTGTGATCATGAGGAATATGCAAAGGGCATTAAACATTCGTCGAGCATCATGACGCACGCAGAGTTCATCAGAATTAATTTAAATTGTTTCTTTGCAACTTTCTCTACCTGAGATTTTGCGAAACTAATGACTTCTATTATATTGTAATATGTACATAAAATGCATCGATAGGTTTTTTGAACCTTCAGATCTGAAGTATGTCCAATTATGTTACATGACGTTGAAAAATAAATTATTGATAATTTTGTCATAAAGTTGATTAGATACAAATTATGCTAAATGCAGAACGCATCGATTGAACATTAGTTAGATATTTTAATGATTTAATATTAATTTAATATAATCTAATCTTTAATATAATCTATCTCTTTAATGTAACGTGATATGAAAACGAAATATTATATGACTAATTAAAAATTTTGTTTTAAACATTCTTTTTTATAAATAAATATAACAGTAATACAATTAAAAATGCATTTCTAATTTCAACAAAGTACACTAATTTAGAAAGTAAATTAAAAATCAGTACTCTGTAAAACTTTAGAGTAAATCTCACTCTTAAAGATTGAGAAAACTAAGTCTCTCTTTTTCAAGACTGGCTAATTTTCACTCTTTAGAGTGAGATTCCACTCCAAAGAATTTAAAGAAAATATTTAAAAATATATTTGTATAAAATTTTATTTTTATTTAATATTAACATACTTAATAAATTTAATAATATTAATATTATTATTTACAAAATAATGATATATTCAGCTTTAGAAAAAGTTATGGCTAATAATAAACGCATGTAATTCGCATAATCTTGTACAATACATAATAATGCGCACTGCATTTATATCTATTCTATCGGGGAAGGAACGATAATCTCGCTGAGAATTAAAATTAAATAGAAATTTATGCCACAGATATTCATAGTGTTTTTAACTGTACAAATGTGCCAAGATTTTGACAAAAGGCAAATAATTTGATGTAGACACGTGTCTGTTCGTGATTTATTAATCCACGCGTCTCTTCCATTTTTGCATTTCTTCGCTATTGTATCGTTTTAATATAAGATTCTTTTTAATATTGTCTGAATTTTGTCCGCTAATATAAATCAGCAATCCGTATATTACGTTTAATTAACATATTAAAATTTAACCATACAAGTACTACCACTTTCCTAAAATTACTAATATAACTCTAAAAGCATGCTTGTGTTTAATGATTTTGTGATAGTATTTAATGATTTTATTGATGACATTTTTTTAAGTTAACTTAATTTAATATATGTTTCTACATACTGTTCGTATACATAAATGTAGATTCAATTATTTACAAAGTAGTAAATTGGTTTTCAAAATTTGCGCCTTGTAAAACGAAAATAATGTATTATTTTGTAATATAATAATTTATTATGTGTACATCTTCAGTGTTTGTGAAATGTCAAGGAAACTATATTTTCTACCATTTTTGAAATATTTGCCCCAGGATATCAGTTCGTATTGTGACTAAAATGATTTGTTAGGTACTCAGATAAAGTTATGTACACAGCATGTATTATATTTGGAGAATTTGGGATGGAAGTTGGGTTGAGAAATTATGTGCGTACGGCAATCGATAGCGATGGACTAGCTGTACCGATTTTAAAACTTAAACACTTCATGCATTAGATTTAAACGAGATATTCGATGCTTTTTCCTCTTAATTGTTAAATAATCTTTGACGTCAATGTTATTAGGAGTATATTGTCGACCGAATTCATGACACCTAGTCCATTCCTATCTG